CCTTGGCATCCTGATGGTGGCTCCTAGTGCTGCCTCGGGGAAGGAGCAAGTGCATCTTCCTCAGGGCTCCAGGCCACCCCCTTACACCAGTCACTGGGCACAGGAGGACATCGAAGACCCTGCCGATGCTAGGCACCCTCTAGTCATGGCAGACAGGGAAACTGACGCCATGTGCAAGGTCTCTGCCAGCTCATACAAGGACAGCAGTCCCAGTCCAGCACTTCCCCTAGTGACAGCTGCTACCAAAGGACAGGCAGGGTGACCTGAGAGGGGATCCTTTAACCCAGATCCCTGAAAAACACAAGCCCCTTCCTGGTGGAAGAAAATGAGGGCTCGGGGAGCACCCAAGGGTGGTCTGGACAGGGCTGAGGGCAGTAAGGGGGTGGACAGGATAGTGCAGGCTGTGCAGCTACAGGGGCCACGTGTGCCCAGGCTGTGTGGGGACAGTGACTCCTTATGCTGGCCACAGCTCTGTCCTCGCTGCCACCACCCCGTGGTAATGAGACGGATCCAATTTGTACCCAGAGCCCCGCCGGGAGAGCTGCCTCGGCAGGGCTGGAAGTAATTTAATTGGACATATTAGCCACACAGCTCTCTCCTCGCCCGCTTGCCTCGTGTGGAGCCGCACGCAGGCCCCCACACCCCACATGGGCTGGCTGGGGGCAGGGCACAATGCCAACCATGGGGCCCACCCAGCACACCCCTCCTCTCTCCTCCCTGGGCTCAGCGGGTTCTCCTTTCCCAGCTACCACAGGAGCCCATGTGGGGGGCAGGTCAGAAGGGCAGAATGGGGTCACCCTTATCTCCTTCAGGGACCCCTCACCTCCCGCCCTCAGAAGGGGCTCAAAGACACAGGTCCTGAGGCACCTACCCATTCTGACAACACTGAAGCCTTGTCATTATCGGGTCTCCACTGACAGTGCAGTCTTCCTCAGAGAGCTCGGGGGAGAGGGTACACACACAAACACATGCACGCACACATGCTCACATGCAAGCCTCCACCCAGCCAGCCACACACGGGTGCAGTCACAGCAACGCTCGTATCTACACACATAGCACTCCCACGAGCCTCCCACATCTACACAGTAGACTCACAGCCAGGTAGGCCTTGCCCCCTACACAGGGAGGCCCCAGGAGTGGCCAGGCCAGCAGGTGGGAGGGCGTGGCAGGGACAGGCCAGGTCCCTGGAGGACACAGGCCTGCCAGCCTGGGGACAAAGGTGGGGAGGGCAAGGTCCCTCCCCAATGCCTTCTGTCACAGTTCCCTGTGCACCTAGGCGCACCTTGCTACAAATGCACTCATTAGCTGTGCTGACAGCGGGCGGGAGCTCAGACAAGCGCGGTTGTGGCAGTGGCCAGCTGTCGCCTGGCACAGCACACGCAGATACACATAGACGTAGCCTCTCCACGTCCCACCTCTCTGCCCCACATGGGCAGTCACATGAATGCACCCAGCCCCAAATCCAAAGAGGCTCCCCCAGTCTTCCTCCTGGGGCCCTTCCATTGGGGTCTGTAGAGCCCTGGCTCCCCCCAGTATGCAGCCCACTTTCCCAGGACTGGCCAGGACTCCGGCAGAGGCGCTGGGTGCCATCCAGCCCCTTTCACAGGTCCCTGCTGTCTGCCAACTCTGCTCCAGCTCTCGGGGACCTTGCTGGGTGAGACCAAAGTCCTGCCCTCCAGGAGGAAAATTGGACAGGGCTCAGCAGGGATGCCCCGCTGCCTGGAAGGTCAGGGACCTTGGTGTCCACAGAACTGGCACAATTCTCTTGGCATCACTTGCTGGGGTTCCCTAACAAGGCAGAAGGGCACCCAGACTGGGCCTGGCACAGGCTGGCTCCGGCACCTGGCCAGACCAGTGACCGCCCAACAGAGAAAGCTGACTGACCTCTTGGGCCATGGCGCATAACCGGGCGCACTCTGGCAGGCTTCCCTGCTCTCCTGGGTCTCTCAGTGCCCGAGACTGGACCCCTGCACCAGCCTCTTCATGCTGAGCTCAGCCTCCCTCCCTGGGGGAAACAGTTACTGAAAATCATCCATCACATTCAACAAGGACTAAAGTCCAGAAAGAACGTGGGGTAGCTGAGGCAGGAGTGGGAGGAAGGAACATTTCTGCTTAACGTGCTCAGGACAGTTGGCGGCAGTGGGACAGAGCCAGGCCCGTGAGCCCAGGCCTAGGATCAGCCAGGTCCCTGACCCACTGCCTAAAGCTTGGCCGGGCTCACCTGCCAGGCACCTGTTACCCTGCAGCCCAGCTGTCCCTCACCTGTCACCAGTTGGCCTGCATCCAGCCTCTCCCATAGCATGGAGGGCGTGGGGCCACCCCCTCTCCTGTCTTCCCACCTGAGCACCTGGCCCATGGGTCCAGCTGTCCCCAGGAGGCCACAGAACAGCAGGCACCAGGCCACAGAGGGCCCGTCTCCACAGCAACCCTCAGGCTCTGGGGTACTGGCACCTCCAGCCCATGTTAGACCTGTTTAGCTCCAGATACCCCAGCTGCCATCCCTGCTGGGAGCCCAGGTGACCTTCAACCCTGACTGCACCAGGCCCACGATGCAGAAGAAGGGGCAGCCTTGGGCAGGAAGGGTGTCGGACAGTGGCCTGGACCTTGAATCCTGTGGCCCATGTGGTACCTAGTTGCCCTTTCAGCCGCAGCCCTGCTACCCCTCAGCCCCTGCCCTTGGCAAGGCCTCCTGAGCAGAGACCAGCAAGCCAGGCTCCTATCCCCCTCCAGGGACCGTCACAGGGCAGAAGCACTAATAGGTGGCTCTAACTGCAGCTTGGAGCTCTGCTGACCCCAGGGACAAACTTGCAGAGTGCAGGGGGCTGGGTGGACAGCCCTGGAGACCGGACCTCCTTGTGGTCCCCTTGCTGGCCTGCTTCATGAGCTCACAGCAAGGTCACCTCCCCCTCCTGTTCCTGCTCCTCCTCTTTTTTGTTGCCATCCTGTCCTGCCCACCCACCACAACTCTGACCCCAGCAGGCCTGCCGAGGCCCCACCCAGCTCAGGGACAGGGACAGGCTTGGGAACAGGCCTGAGCAGACTCAGGACACATGAAGCACAGGAGAGGGCAGGGGCGCAGGGCTGCAGGCACTGCTGGGGAGGCTGGAGCAGGGGCCGTGTTCTGCAGGAGACAGGTCTGTGTCCTCATCTTTGCTGTGGGCCCCCAATTTTTCCCACTGTCCCTCCCATCATCAACTGTGGAGCTGGAATGAGCCATGTCTGAGGACAGGGCTGGGACCGGTGGGGAGGGAGCAGCACCTTTCAGGGAAGGTGCTGGCCCCTGCTGACCTGGGGACCTGCAGAAGGAGGAGCCACGAACCCACTGGGCTCAGGAGGGCAGGAGGGCAGCAGGGCATGAGGATTCCGAAAACAGGACTGGGCCACAGGTGTTCTCAGGAGGGCTGAGGCCATGGAGCTGTAAAGGCTTATGGTTCCTGGGGGACCAGAGGACAGAGGAGGGATGCCTGAATCACAGAAACTGCTTTGCATATTCACTCCCACCTGATGTCTGACAGAGGGGACTCAAGCTGGGCAGATGTGGGAGACACAAAGCCCTGGCTGGGGGCAGCACCTGAGGGCCTTGGGGGAGTTTTGGGATAGGTGAAGTACAAACTGCAGCATGGGGGTCATCGGAGGCAGGGAGGGGTGCTGTGGCCAGGCTAGCCAGGGCCTCTCTAGCCTCTCCGGACCCCACCCAGCTCAGCACTCCCTGCCAGAAGCTGGAGAACCTCAGAGCCATCCCTGCCCATCACAGGCACAGTGGGCATGAGAAGCCCCAACCCCGGACGGGGAGGACCGTCCAGGGAAGGAGACAGAAAGGCGCAGGGCCTGCCAACCCACCAGAGACAGTCCTGGAGCCCAGGAGACACCAACACGTCAAGGTGGCCTCCGTGAGAGGGCAGAGGTTCTTGAGGAGTGGTGATGTCATGGTACCCAGGCGTGGGAGGACAGGGAGAGAAGGAGAGGGGACAAAGGCACGGCCCCAAGGCCTAAGGAAGCAGGAGAGAGGCAGGCAGCCTCGCGGGGCCCGGAAGGGGTATGTCATTCCTAGGTCCCCTTCCTTCCATCTGCTCCCCTGAGCTGGGTGGGCTCTGGCCTGAGTCAGAGGCACAAGATGCCGCTGCACCATGGTCCGGGCTCTGGACACTGGCTCCCCCAGGGCAATGCCAGAGCAGTGCCTGGGTACAGACAGAGCTGGCCAGGGCTCCCCAGGCAGTGCTCCTCAGCCCTTGCCTAGAGGACACTCGCAGAAAGGCATGAGGCTGCCCATGAAAGGGGTCTCTCCCCCTCTTGCCCAGTGCTGAGTGGGCTCCACGGTGTGCCTGGGGGTTGCTCTTGGACACCTGGCCCTGAATGGACTGACTGGGAAGCACCTGATGTCCAGAGGCAGGGACAGCTGGCCCTGAGGGCAAGAGACAGAGAGGACCCACTGGCCTGCCCTGCTCTCTCCTCCCCTGGCCCTCGCCCTGGGGTGGTAGGCAGGAGCCCAGAGACTCCTCCGGGAGCGGGGCTGGTGTAGTGTCTGCTGCCGCACTGGGAGCAGCGGGAGGCACAGCACGGAGCCAGCGCCCACGGCTGGCCGGGCTGGGTCTAGGGAGCACCCAGGTGGGCTGGGCGGGTGACGGGCGCCAGGCGCCGCGGGGGCCCTGCCTACAGGTGGGCACGGACGAAGAGGCGGCGGGCAGAGGCAATAGCAGGGCGATTTCCGAGGAAGGAGGCTCGGGCTGAGGCGTGGGGGATGCCAGGCAGACAGCGAGCTCCAGCCACTCCCCAGAAGAACACGGCAAGGGGCGCGCCCTCCCCGAGGACGGGAGCGAGTTGGGGTTCGGCCGCCCGCGCCTGCCGGAGACCGCCGTGGCGCCCCGCTCCCCGGGCCCAGACTCCCGCCTCACTCGTGCCCGTCCCCGCACCCGCGCCGCCCAGTCCCGCTCCGCCCGCTTGGGGCCGGCCCGTCCCGGCCTCGCCCGCGCGTCCTTGGGCGCAGTCGGGCGGGCGCTCACCTGGGCTGGCCGCCGCCGGGTCCCGGAACATGGTCCTAGAGGCGCGCCGCGCCGCCGCGGCCGGGCATGGGGCCGCCCCGGGCCGGAGGGGGCGCCCGGCGCCGGGCGGGGACAGCGCCGAGCTCTGCGCGGGCCGCGAGTGCGCGCCGGGCGGGCGCGGGGAGTGCGGGCGCGTGTGCCGCTGCGTGCGCGCGTGTATGTGTGTGTGTGCGTGTGGCCGTGTGTGATGTGTGCGGTGTGTGTGAGATCGCGGGGTGCGGACGCGGATGCGCCCCCTGCAGGCCGCCGCCGCCCCGCGCCCCGCCCGCGCCCGCGCCGCCGCCCGGCCCATGCTCCCGGATCCCGCTCTGCCCTCCTCCTCCCGGGTCCGGCCACTCCGCTCCGAGCGCTCTGAGGATCCAGACCGCACTTTCCGTCCGGCGGCCGCTGGAGGGCGTCAGCTCCGGATTCCACGCTTTGGCGGCCTTGGGAGACGGGCTGGCGAGTGAGAAAACCAGGAGCGGAAGTTTACCGGTGCCGGCCTGGCTCTGCCACCCTGGTCATTGTCAGAGCGCAAGCCCAGAGGGAGGGGTCTCTGCCTTTGGTGGGAATTGGATCGAGTGACGCTCCCCACTCACTCGTGGCCCTTCTGTCTCCGTGGCCCTCTCTTGTAGCTCCCCCTCCTCTGTCCCTCTCCTCTTGTCCTTGACCCAATGCTTGGCACCTGAGGCATCAGGGAAGCCCTCCACCCCGCTAGTCTGGGCTTCCTCGGCCCTCCTGCCCAGCAGCGCTCAGCCTAGTCCAGATGGGTGCCTCTCCCGCTCTACGGAACTGGGCCGGGGAGGCGGTGGGACTGGCTGTCTCCGAGGACTTTGAAGGCCTGAAGGAAACCTGCATGGTGTTGGTATCAGGCAGTGAGACCTTGTGCCCCCAGTCCACCCAGTCACCTGCACACACACACAAAAAAGACACCCTAGGGCAGAGCCCGCCCCACCCTGCACGGACCCCAGGTCTTGCCATCCCCTGCACTGGGAATGTGGTAAGCAAGAGAAGGCTGAGTCCCCGTCTCCACCCAGGTGTCATCCAGCCTGCTTTATAGTACACGGTGCACAGCCAGCCATGCTGCCACCTTCCCACTGTGCAGCAGGATCCTGCACCACAGGGACAAAACAGTCCCCAAGGACCCTTAAAACCCACAGACCCCATCCCCTGGAGCCCATGTGGCACTACCTCCCAGCAGGAGCACATACACACACTCACCTCCACCCACAGCTTTCCGGTGTAGACACAGATAAGGAAATTCTCCAGCAAATCTTGTAGACTGTTCCGGTGGAGAACAGATTTCCTGGGGTTGAATGTTCTAATTAAAAATGGAAGGAAAAAAGGCCTGCAATTCCCCAGGGGCCAGAAATGGCAGCCCTTACTCTACTGTTAGGGCCCCGATGCCCTGCAGTTGCCCAGAAGCCCGGGACCCAGAAGCCACACCAATCCACAGGGGTCCATAGTCCCCAGCCTTGGCCTTGTCTCTGCCTCCCCAAGTCACCTCTCCTGTCACTCCTTGAAAAGCACATGGTGTGTCTCTCCTCCCTATTTCCTCCCCACCTGTCAGGGCACATGGAGAGGTCCCCCCATTCAGATCCGTGCCCCTCCAGCTAAGCCCTGGGAAGTGACAGCAGAACCCCCCTTGCTGCACCTCAGCCTTTATGGAGCATCTGGGATCACTCAGCGTCCAAGAGGCGATGGATGGAGAGGACGTCTGAGCAGTGACCCGGCCACCCTCTCTGGTGGCAGATGGTGAAGGCGAAGTCTGGAGAAGGAGGAGCTAGGCCAAGGAACTGACAGTCCAGAGAACTAGAGAGGACTCAGAGAGGCCATGGGTGCCCGTCCCTGCTTTTGACAGAGCTGTGCCCTCCCTATGATGGCTCATGCCTGCTCCCACTGACAGCTTCTGTCCCCATGTGTTTCTCTCCCCCAAATAAAGATCTCAGCCACCCTCACTCCCTGTGGGCCCTGAACAATCATGATTCCTGAGTGGCAGAGTCTGTCAGTTCCTAGACAGATGAGATGCGCCCTGGGAGACAGCGGCACAAACTGAGGCTCAGGGCCCTGGGGAGCTTGGCTGGCTTCAGGAATATAGGGAGGTTCTTTTTCTGGGCCTGAGTCACTTTGTCTGGAGGATGCAGGGGCATTGGGAAAAGGAAGGAACACAGATCTACATGGCCTGACCACTCCTGAGACCTTACATGGAGGGTGGGCATCATCCCTCTTCACAATGGGAAAAACAACACCTACTTCCTTAGACTCCTGCAGAATTCCAAGGTAAGACAATCAAAGCACTTGGTGCTACGTGGAGCCACGATTTATGCCTGCTGGACTTGGAGCGCCCTTTTTATTGTTTGTTTACCCCCACAGAGACACCAGCAGCCCCGACCCAGGCCTGTCAGGGAAGTGCTTCCAGATGGCTAGCCTCAGAGCTGTCTGCTATGTGTGACAGCCACCCCCAGGGCCAGGCAGAGGCAGGAAGCAGAGGAGAGGCTGTGGGAGGGCAGGGCGCCCGAGCAGGAAGCCCCTAGGAGGGCAGGGCCTCCGGGCTCCCCTCCAACCCCACAGAAGTGAGCCCAGGACTGCTCTCCTTCTGTGACGCTGCTGGCTCCACATCCCAGCTTCCCAGATCCGGGCTTCCCAGACGTGGCAGGAAGCATAGGCCACACCTGATCCCCAAGGGCTCCTACTATCTGCATAGACCCTCAGACCTGCTTCCTATCTGGCACTGTCATAGGGGCTGTGTGTCCTGGGCCAGGTGTCCTGGACTGGCCTCAGGGAGGGACATGCTGTCCCACAGTAGCAGACACCAGGTCCCACTGCCTGGCAGGGCCCCGAGGCGCTGCTGGGTTGCTAGGCCATAGGAGGAGGCAGGGCTTCAGGTCCCCCGCCTCCACCCAGTGTAGTCCTCACAGCTCCTGTCCCCTTGTCCCCGCCCCCCAGGCTGAAGGATGAATTATTAATAAAAATGCTGAGGAAGCTGTTCGTGCTGCTCACGTGACAGAACAAGCACACCTCACCCCTTTCTGCCATCACGGTAGCAGGAGACCCAAGCAGAGCATTCTTCCGGTCCAGGAGGGACAGTCTGAGGCCAGCCAAGCAATTGGCAGTGTTTGCACCACCCTGGTTGCCCCTTCTCCTCCTGGAAGCTGAGGCCTGGAGAGGGCATCAGCAGAGCACACCAACGTCCCCAGTGCCTCCTCCCCCAGGGGACAGAATTGACCCTAGCTGATGAATTGTCGTCTTGCTCCAGCCCCAAGAGCTGCTACTGTCATGGCCACCTGGCCCTGTGTGTCTGCCCAGCCCTGCTCTGGGGCCCTGCTTCTAGCAGGGTGGTTGCACAGCTAGGAGGACTGGAGGCCTGAACTCGTCCTGCTTCTGCCCAAGCCTCTGCTGGCTGCTGGGCTTCAGGGCTCCACTCTAAGCCTTGTGCTAAAAGCTGCAGACAGAGAGGTGTGAAAATCCCCGAGGATGCCACACACGCTGGGCATCTTTCCTGCCTCCCTGGGGGAACCCCAGACCCCCATTCGGTCCCACCTGGGTGTCTCTGAAATCCCAAAGTGGCCCTGACTCCCGAGTGTGCTTAGCTCAGTCCCCAGAAGAGCCAATGGTGCCTTTCTGGCCATGCCTATCAGGGCAGCCTGGCCAGCAATGGCCTTGGCCTACGCTCTGGGGCAACTCAGGGACCCCTGAGGCTGACCGGGGCCCTGCCAATGCACCTGGGCTGGCCCGTCCGAAGCTCAGTGATCTGGGGTAAGGCCTTTGGATCCTTTGGAGCCTCAGTTTACCAATCTGTATCATGAAATGTTGTTTTACTATGTCGCTTGGGGCCCTATTAATCCCCATGATCTCACCTCCTAGAAAGCACATCCACAAACACAGACACAAAATTTTGCTTGTCATTACATACTGTGTTCCTGCAGCTTCAAGAGATGGAACCCAGCCCATTGAGCCTGGGGCTCCCTGTCCCTGCCATCCCTCCCTCCCGCCTTTGAGGCCCCTCCTTGGTACTTGGGGGTCAGCCTAGCTGCAGTCCTGTGGAGGTTGCCTGCCTTTCAAGGTATTTAAAGGTTCTTTGACCAAATATGTTTTGATCCTCTGCTGATGGGGACCAGGCAAGGCTCTTTTACCAGGGCTCCATCCTGTGTGATTGGTTTCTCAAAGCTCTTTTGATATCTCAGAAGCTTTCTGTGGTTAGTTCAAAGCCTGCCCTTGCCTCCACTCCCACCCAAGCTGGTCAGCTAGCCTCATGGCAGGCCCAGTGGTGGCCTAGTTAATAGGGCTGCCAGCCCTGGGTGACACCCACTAGACAGCTGGACTCCAGCCCTGCCCAACTGGTGAGGGTTAAGCCCTGCTCCTCCCAGGGCACTGCCCCATCTCTCTTCTCTCTAGGAGGAAGAGGGGGAAAAAAGCATCTCCAGAAGCCAGTGAACCCTGTGGCTGCTTCCTACAGAGTAGAAGACACAGCTGGGCACAGAGACCTAGGATTCTGTTGACCTGTTCCCAAGGTCCCTTAGCCACAGATGAGGGGGAAACTCAGGCTCTGAGATGTCCTCATGCAAGACTGGTTGTATGAGGGGTTAGGAAACCTTCATGCTCTAGCAACCTGCATGTCTGATCTCTCTTGAGGTGACTGTAGCTAGGAATTTGGCATTGGGGGACAGGGTGCTTGCTCTTGATGGTGGAGAGCTTGCAGACAGCTCAGGGTCTGCCTGTCTCCAGCCAAGGCCACCCCAAGACTCACACGGCTCCAGGCGTGTACTCCTCGCCACCTCGTGACAGCTGGGACAGGGGCTGGGCGAGATGTTGCATACGCCTGAAGCCATGTGAGTCTATGTCACCTCGGAACTGGGAGGGGTAACTGGGGTGGCAGCCTGGGGCATCAGGGGCGGCACAGGGCACTGCACAGGAAGGATACCCTGGGCCCTGGAAGTGGGGCCCATGGTAGGGCAAGGTAGTCACTCTGTACATCCATGATACAAGTAGCAACAGTCACATCTCTGGCCCTGGCTTGGAAGAGCACCTGATGCCCCCAGAGAGGGGCAAGCACCAGCCTCTCCATCCCCAAGGCCCCTGGTGGTTGTGGGCTCTTTGATCCAGCCAGGCTGAGCGTCACAATCCAGTCCAAGCCCTGTTGCCTCTTAATAGCAACAGCCACAGTCTATCGAGCTCCCAGGGCCGGCCAGTCCGGAGTGCCAGGAGCACAGCTGGCGTTATCCCAGTTAATAGTCACCATGACCCTGCGGAAGCCCTGATGCTGGCTCCGCCTGGGGACAGGATGGCAGCCAGCCCGGCTGCTCGAGGTCACAACCCGGCAGGGACCCA